ATTTCTTATTCATGTTGGTACAACATCTTCGTCGTTTCATAATGGCTGTAAGAGAAGTGTTGAAGATCTAATGAAACCAACTCAACATATTGACAAGGTAATGCATTCTTTATCAAATGAGGAAATTCAGAAAAACCGTTTGCGTCTAAAGACCACCATTATGAGTGTTAAGTGGTTAGCACTTCAAAGTTGTTCCTTTAGAGGCCATGATGAATCTCCATCTTCACTGAATCGTGGGAATTTCATTGAACTGGTGGATGCATTTGGAAAAATGAATATTGAAGTAGGAAAAGTTGTATTTGGTAATGCTCCCAAAAATGCTACATACACATCTCCAGACATTCAAAAAGAAATTTTGAACATTATGGCCAACAAAGTCCGACAAAGAATTCGTGGCGAAATTGGGGATGCAAAATTTAGTATTCTTGTTGATGAAGCACGAGATGAACTTCACAAGAACAAATGGCCATTATCCTGAGGTTCGTCAGAAGTAATGGAATTTTGACAGAGCTTTTTTTTGCAATTAAAAGTGTTAGTGACACTACCTCATTAAATCTTAAGAATCAAATTTCTGATGTTCTTGTCCGTTTCGACCTTCAAGTGCAAAATATGAGAGGCCAAGGGTACGATGGTGCTAATAATATGCGTGGTTCTTGGAATGGACTACAGGCATTATTTCTTAAAGATTGTCCATATGCATACTATGTCCATTGTTTTGCCCACCGTTTACAACTCACATTGATTTCTGCAGCTAGGGATGTCTCAGATATTAATTCATTTTTTTCTCATTTGGATAGTGTTATTAATATGATTACATCATCTCCTAAGCGCATCAATGAGCTGAAAAGTGCCCAAAGAAAAGAAATTGAGCATTTGTTGGAAATTGGAGAACGAGAGTCCGGAAGTGGTGCTAATCAGATTGGTAATTTGCAACGAGCCGGAGGTACTCGTTGATCTTCTAATTACAGCTCTGTAAAGAGTTTGATTGATATGTATGCTGCAACTTGTAAGGTGCTTGAGTATCTTAGTGATCATTCTCCAAATGTAAGATCTCGGTCCGAAGTTGGTGGTGTGTACAAAACCATGACAACATTTGAATTTGTATTTATTTTACATTTAATGCGTAAAATATTAGCAATTGCGGATGTGCTTTATCAGATCCTTTAGAAGAAAACTCAAGACATCTTGACTGCTATGAGATTTGTCCGTACTACAAAAACTATCCTTCAAACATTGAGAGAAGATGGCTGGGAAGAATTTCTTGAAGAGGTGAAATGTTTTTGCTCAAAAAATGATATACATGTACCTGACTTTGATACTTCGTATATGGTTGGTCGTTCTCGTGGTCGTGAGTATCCTACCGTTGAACATCACTATCACTTTGATATTTTCAATGCAACCATTGATTTTCTGATGATGGAGTTAGATACAAGATTTAATGAGACATCATTAGAACTTCTTTCTCTCAGTGCGGCTTTGGATCCAAAAGATTCTTTTGAATCATTTAACATTGATAATATTTGCAAGCTTGCAGAGAAGTTTTATCTTGAAGATTTTTCACAGCAAGATATTTATTGTTTGAAAGTTGAGTTGCAACATTATCAGAATGATGTGATTTCCGAACCTCGATTTCAAATACCTACACTTTCTAATTTATGTCGAGAATTGGTTGCAAGTAGAAGGTCGGAGAGTTACGTCGTTTTGACTAAATTGATTTGTTTAGTACTCACACTACCTGTTTCAACGACGACTGTGGAGTGAGCATTTTCAGCAATGAAACATGTGAAGACGGAAATTCGTAACAAAATGGATGATGGCTTTCTTGCTGATTGTTTAACACTAAATATTGAGCGAGAATTTAGTATGAATTTAGATCTAGATTCTATTGTAGATGAATTCTATGCTTTAAAACATCGTCGGGTACAACTACGATAGGTAACTTATATTATGAATTTTTCTTATTATATATAAATTTTATTTGTAGTTCGTACATTAAATTTTTAAAAATTTTTGCCTCCCGTACCATGAATTCCTGGCTCCGCCCCTGGTTTGAACATATATTCTTGACCTAGTTTGATTTTAGATTACTGGATATATTTATTATTTCTATATTATCATTAACTGCCATAATTTATTAAAACAATTAAAATAAGAAATGACAGGCCATTTTTATACACATTCGTCGCATGGAGGCCTCAAGAAAAACAACCGACTTTCGCAAAATTAGGCTACCTGCCTATTTGTGCTAACAAAGGGTCATTTTAACATTAGCATTTTTACGAGGAATCAGGGACAAATCTAGAATTGGATCCAAGATCGGGCTATAAAATTTTAAACCGGGCTGCTACGTGGAAAAAAAAATTTACACGTCAAAAATTGATTTTTTACCACAAAAAAAAAAAAAAAAAAACCTTTAAAAAAAATTTGTTGGACCTGAGAGTGGGGGGGACTAGAGCCTTGCCCTGCCCCCCCCCCCAAATGCATTGCGTTTTAATAGCTGGTACTACACGCCTCTGTCTAAGCCTCATTACATTTTCGTTTCATTCATTTTTCAAACTTTTTGACCACCAAATCACATTTATCTGGAATCTAACTTCTAACAATCTCAGCAGGCACATAGTTGAATTATTAATTACACACACAACATATAGACCAAATTGACGGCTACACCCCTTAGTTTGTATTTCATTTTACACATTTGCCCTTCAATAATAACATACCGGCCTCCTTCCCTACAAGAACCCAATCCCCCATTGCCTTCCATTTCCATCGAATCAGTGCACGGAGATCTAGCAAAGAGAACCTCAGCTACATATTGCCGGTTAAAAATTTTGCTCAGCCGAACGGTGTCGGTCGACCCCTGTGCAAGGCCACGCTCGGCGTCCTTAACATCTTAACCCGACGACGTATCACAGTCGGGCTGGACTTCGCAGTCCAGTTGCGCAACAAATTCCTGAGGCTCTAATCTGCAACAACCGAAAATGGCTTACAACGTCGGCGGTTTTAGTTATTATCCGAAAATCATGGTACGCTTTCAACTCAACTGCTTCCCCCCCCCCTCCGGTTTGCATCCCCATTACAGAGTTAGTGATGCCTGCGCGCACCTTGTACGTAAGCTGTTGCCGCCATTCACTTGCTTTCTTGGGCTTTATTGGACCCAATTTTTAACTACTACAATTTATTTCTTTTCTGTTTGTTATTTGCAAATCATTTATGTGTATGCATCTATTATGTTGCTGTGATCCACCTTGCCCAGAGTCCTTGATGTTGTGGCTTTTCTGCTTGGAACTAGATGCCTATTTGAATTACAGTACATTGACGTCGTCTATGCTGGTAAAAGACTACAGATTTAAAATTAAAACTCGCAAATGCCCAAAATTTTCATCTTGTTGAGCACTGATTGGGCTTGGCAGGAAGTGACAGGGCCTCGACCGAAACTGCTTGATTGAGTTCTTCTTGAGTAGCAACGTAATTCATTTTTGTCTGATCGATATCATCTCGACTATCCTCCCGTCTTTCTCCATTTTGTCAAATGGGTATTGCTACAGTTATCGACTAGCATTTACATAGGTCTTCCAATTTTGAGTGATTCCAGTAAAGAGAAGTCTACATTTCAGTGACACCGTTGCATATGTTTCTGTACCAGTGGCTTCTTATTGACTAAACCTGTAGGTTTGAAGTATGTTTTAATCAATATCGTCCTCATCCCTAAAGAGAGGAACATTTCTGAAGCAATTACCTACTCAATTAAACTCAACAAAGCCAAGGTCAATACTTATTCGGGCTTGGCTATATCAATGCTCTTCTTGCATCACCCTATGTCACACTTAAATTATGTATGTGTTCTGATAGCCCAACTTTTGTCTAATACAACATCGGTCCTATACCTCTTCCTCTTCATATTCCATGACAAATTGATCCCGCTTCTTCCCTTTTGAAGTCCGAAAATCTTCTCATCCTTTGATGGTCGTTGGGAGTAGGTGATGATGGAGATGTGGCAACATTGTGCTGCAGGCCGGTCTCCTTTTCACTTCCCTGGAGAAAAAACTTTTACAAAAATAACAACTGTAGGAGTGAGGGAGCTCATTATATCCATCCTTATTCCCTGCCAAGTGCTAACTTCATTTCTCTAATACTTTCAAAAACTTCTTACAGTTACAACTTGATTGCATGCTTGGAATTGTTAGTATTAATTTGCATTCATATGTGTGCGAAAAGTTCATTTTGCATGTAAAAAATATTATTTTAGATTTCACAATATATCAGTCTTTCCCATTCACATAAGTATTACCAAGTATCCATTTATGGCTTCACGATCTTTTATATACAGTTATAGCATTGAAGCTCATATTGCAAGCAATTAGTTGAGCTTTACAATTACATTATTACACTGAACTAAGGAGTTGCCACACGACCATTTCTTTCACACCTTTGCACTGCATTTTTCTTTTCTAACAGGCTCTTACAACTATGATGTGCAACATTTTCGCAGAATTACACGACATAAAATTCGGACGCCATGCCGGCCGCATCATCGAACCCTATCCTGGAAAACAAATCGGAGGCCCGCAAGTGTGCTAGATGGGAACCTCGAGAGCAGAAAATCTTCATGTCCGCCGCTGAACACGTCGCTGCAGAGGGACACCGTCGTGGAAAGTGCTTCTCTTCAACAGGGTGGGAGCGATTATGCAAATTGTTCAACAAAAATGCAGGGAAGAACTGGACTATTGCACAGCTGAAAAACCATTGGGGTGCTATGCGCACGGACCACAAACTACTGTTTGAGCTTCTCCAGTGCACGGAATAGCTTGTGGTTTGAGCATCGGGGGCAGAATTGACACTCCAGAATGGTGGTGGAAGCAGAAAATTAAGGTACCCGCATGTCTACACTCTGGAGTTATAGTAGCTTCCTTAGAAACGTTTTTGCATTTTAACAATTCCATAACACTGTACTAACGCTCTCGTGTTTCATTTCAGGAGAACCCTCGGTATGGAAAGTTCAAGGACAATAAAAACACGGAGATCTACCATAAATATAGCCGTCTGTTTGGAGGTAGTTGTGACTCCATGAAGTACGCACTGACACCCACGAAGCTGTCTCAACGTGGGTTTGACTTGGGCACCAACTCCGACTCAGATGATCCGAACGACACGTTACCTATCAATGTCGAGACAACTCATTCGAGCGACGGTCCGACTCCAGGACAAGCGAGCTCCTTGATGAATATCTCCCTGCGTGGAAGCGGCGAGAAACGTAAGGGAAAACATGCGAAGGGAAAGCGAAAGAAGTTCGGGGCGAGGGAGGTTTCTGAGTCGATGGACAACCTCGCTTGCGTATCGAGGGAGATGGCCTCTGTGATCCGCACAAAAGAAGAAGGCCATATGACTCTCCATGAATGCATAGATGATTCGCTTTCGACTGGGCTTGTCGAAGCCGGGGATGAGTTGCACATGTTCACGTTGTGGTTCCTAAGAAATTCTGGAAATCGTGTTGCGTACAGTGCAGCTAAAACGTTGGAGATGCGCTACAAGTGGATCGCGTATTTTTTTGAACGCAACAAAATGCCGGGTTCTAGGAGCCGTCGATCGTGCTTCGACTGTATGTGTCGTTGGTTTGAGTTCGTTTGTATGCTTTTTATGTTATCTTCCGTATGGGTTGTTGTAATAATACTTTGTTGTTCGACTTCTTGTTCGCACGTTTCGCGCACTAAAATGTGCGCTATGTATTTTGTATTGCTGAATGTAATAAAAATAAGTGCATGTGAAACGTTTTAATGCATGTCAAGAACTATTTCATTCCCGGGTACCCGAGAACGACGTGAAGGCTGTCAATAGCTCTCGCAAAACGAAAAATGCGGGCAGAAACACGTCGTTGCCACATACACAACTGTTACGTATTGTCAAAAACGTATAGTCCTACAATGTGTAACAATTCAATTACTGCTGGAACAACAAACACTGTAAACTTTAATGACTGTGTATCAGGGACACATTATTTTTTAAAAGTGTTTCAAATCTTCTCCTGCAACATAGAGAAATAGTCTCGTAGCTGTAAGGAAGCAACAAGTGATAGAGAAATATGTCCCTCCAGGGGACTCAATTATTAAGTAAATTTAAATAATTCTACCCCTAATAGCTTGATGTGATGTCATTGGGTAGGGAAGATACATAAATTTTGACTTAAATAATTGCGTACCACACAATCAATCACTACCTAAACACTGTCTTCCTACTCTAACAAGTTCGCAAAAACGTCAATGACTCTAGAAAAGCAAATAATTTTTCCCATAAAACAGGTTCGCGTAAACCCCATAATTATCAACAGTATGTTCGTGAACTGCATATAACTGCAAACCATGTCTATAGCTTAGGAGGAGCCAAATCTTTGCACATAAATAATTTTGTCCCACATACTCCACTATTACGTGAATGTTGGAATCTAACGCCTGACAGTTTGGAAAATGTCAGTAGCTCTGTCGAGGCAAAGATTCCCCGCGTGATACAACGCATATATCGCCTAGCCACTGCACCTTCTATAGGCCTACTAATGGAATCAATAATTGTCAGCACTAACTGTACAATATTAATTGCATGCATTGCAAAGGCTCCTGCTATAAGAAGGTTATTCCCCTAATTGGCGAAGTACCGGGTCACGCAAATATAGTTTGAATCACAGTGGCAACTTGACGCTGAGGAGTATAGTGAATATATTTGTGTGCCGTGCTATCGTTTTTTGGAGATGACAGACACGTTTGGTTCGCATACGTCATCGGAGATCGATTGTGACCTCATGTCGAGCTCTTGTTCGGACGACGGTTCGAATGACGACGTACTGCAGCAGTTGGAGACGGATATGGTGGTGTGGCTACAGTATTGTCATATCGCTGAGCGGATAGTGCACCAGTACCTCGTGCCAGATCCGGCCCACCGTTACTTATTTTCTACAACACGAAGCGGCCATATATTCATGTTGCAAAATATGCATGTATACCTGCAAACATGCTTTCAGGATTTTAGAATGTACTCGCCCATGTTCAGACACTTTGTACACGTTTTGAGAGATCGCTACGGACTAGAAAACTGTACGAGCATCAATATGTACGATCAGGTCTGAATGTTTTTGTGTATTATGACGCATGGGAAGGGATATCGGCAAGTGCAAACTCTGTTTGGACATTCGCTGCAGATCGTAGGCCATTATTTCAAGTGCGTGCTTCGCGCCATCGGTGCGCTGGCAGCAGACATGATCCGGCCTCATGAAAACTACAACCCTGGTGCTGTAAGTCATCACCCCGATCCGCAGCGATATCCGTTGTTCCAGGTATGTTTATGTTGCCTCACGTTGTCTCGGTGGTCAAATTACTTTTGTCGTAATTTATTCGAGTATTTGACGTGCTTTGAAAATGGACGTCGCAGGATTGTATTGGAGCTATTGACGGGACCTATGTGTGGGCGGTGTTGCCACGACGAAAAAGAATTAACTTCATAGGCCGAAAAGAGGTGCCCACTCAGAACGTCTTGGCCACTTGCGATTTCAACTTGTGCTTCACATTTGTGTTGCAGGGAAGCATGAGGCCCACGCACGACAGCCACATACTAGCCCGCGCGGTGCATAGTCCGGACATACACTTTTCAAAATCGACTGACGGGAAATATTACTTGGTGGACTCAGGATTTGCACATCGGTCGGGGTACATGGCACCGTACAAGGGGTCGGATGTACGTTACCACTTCCAAGAATTTCACAATCATGGTGGCGGCCGACGTCGATTGCGTAATGCACGCGAGAGGTTCAACTTTCATCACTCATCATGTGGAAACATTATTGAGCGTGCATTCGGAGTCTGGAAGCAGAGATGGAAGATTCTAGATAGGATGCCTAGTTATTCATATCGAGCCCAAATCGGTGTGGTCGTGGCAGCAATGGGAGTCTATAATTTTCTGCGACGCAACGGACAGCTCGATGAGGGATTCCGCAGGGCCGAGGAAGTTGACGATGAAGAAGTCGAGGTTGAGTTACCCGATGAGAAAGACAAAGCTGCAGCAGAAGAGGATGCTGTTGCGGACGAGAATGTGTCGTGGACCCAGTTACGAGATTACATAGCGCACACCATACGTTGAATAGGTTAACGCTACCTTATTGTTGGAAGCCGGTATGAAAGTGTAAATTACCACTGGAATGAATGTTGTAATGTGTGAATTTGTTTCGATGCAATGAACGCAAAAATATTATTTTCGTGAAACGAACGCCTGGAAATTAATTACATGCTAACGTTGGGGGACATAACAATTTTTTGTCTTTATTCTCATGTGTGAAAGGCATGTTTTCATAAGAGGGGTTGTAACGTCAATTTATCAAATTGTGAATGTATTCAATTTTGGAATTCAACATTTTCAACCCTATGTGTTAGGGAAAATCCATGCACTAACAACGTGGGTCCCGTTGGCCATCTATTTTTGACCGACAAAAATGGGAGGTAATGAAAGAAAATGGGGCTCAGACACAAGCTAAAATTGCTATTGGAAAAATAATCAGTAATAAAAAACTGTATTTACAGATTTTATTGGATAATAAGAAAAATTATTTGATTAAATGTTTTATGAACAGTGTCTCGCTCTGAGAGTGCATCCATTTTGGTTACATAATGTAAGTTTTGAAATATAAATAATAAGTTACCGATGATGATATTATTCTAACAACGTGTGAATTTAATCACAATAATGGTAATAGTAACATCTCGTTGTGTTAGTTTTTTCTTCATTTTATGGTGAAAGCATCCGTTGGGTCGTAAGAAGCTAACTAATTTAATTTCGTGACAAAAATAAGTAAATTGAAGTGACGTTTCATATAAGTAAGTGAAAATGACATTTAGTGCAGATTAATTGAGATATTAAATCAAATCAGAATCGTATTTCGCATTGCTCTAGGCAGATCTATCAAATAACCAACTCTAGCCAACCTTGACTACAAGAATCCTTTCTATCGACTTAGTGCAGACTTATCGACCAATAATTGGGCATAAAACATTACACATCAAGTCCTAACACTGGTCAATCACCCAATATAATTACAGAATCACGATTAAAATCAGGGATCAAAGAAGAAATGATGAATACAGGCACAATAGAGAGAGAAAAACTCAAGACACTCAAAAGTCAGAAAACTCAAAGTGTGTGAGATTCAAGAGTCTCAATACACCAAAATGGTAGAGTGGTTAAATCTCAACCATTAGATACATTCAACGGCCCAGATCATCCATAAAGAAACACAACTCGAGCGACCAAAATTTAGCTAGTGTGAGAATGCCATCTATCCAGCCCAGACAGCAAAGGAGAAAGAAACATTTTTCCACTTATATAGTTTTGGTTTGAAAAATTGAGGAAAGTTTGAACCCAATTCCAACAGTGATGGATATGAGTGCATACGCGACTTCACATAAATTAACATGGTTAGGAAAAAAAAAATTGTGCGTCACGTTACAATAATCAGGGAATAGCGTGTAATCAAACCAAAATTATTGAGAATAAAAAAGGTCGCGTCACAAAAAATTGAGGCGTGCATCACGAGGGATCAATGCCATTTTCCTACCGCACATTGACGCAACGTGCCAAGACTTTGGCAGTACATTAATAATAATGCGATATAAAATTTATTATAAATTATTGATTTCGATTTAACTATAAATTTTAAATTATTGTTCTCGTGCATGAAAATATTTACAGAAGCTCATTTCAACTAAAAAATAAATATTCGAAACTTTTTACCGTCTAATATGAAAAAATTATTTTTTCAATTACATGTTAAAAAGAAAAGAAAAACTTTATAATAAATCATAAAATGTGAACGCAAGGAAAAATCTATTTTAACTTATGATAGAGTCTTATCGTATTTAGATCACGATATAGTCTTGAAGTTTATTTTAAAAGGTAAAGTTCGAGCAACTTATATGTTAATTATTGTTTTCTCCATGTTAGTGATGTTATATTTTAACTTTAAGATGTCCTATAAAATGATGACTTTTTTGAGAATATCAATCTTGAAATTCTATTACCTATTAGATAAATTAAATTGCTTGTGCCAAGCTTTTTTAGCTTGTGACAAATTAAAATGTCAATTTTATTAAGAGCAATAATATAAATTCCCATATACTAATAACTATTCTCATTAAATTCACCTAAAATATTTTTTTTTATTTTCACTATTACTTTGGTAACATGCATATAATATTCACCAACAAATAAGATTTTCTAAATCCTTGTGGACGTGTAGTAAATGATTTACTTGAAAAATACAAAATAAAATCAAAAGGCAACGATAGTGAATATTAATGGACGTTGTATTCATTAAAAAAAAAAAAGAATCAAATAAACTTTCATGTTGGACGTAATATAAATAATGAAAATTAAGATCAAGGTATCCTTCATCAATCACCGTCCATTTAGATCCTCACCGAAACCCTTCACATTTTGCCGTACGACAAAGAGGCAAAATCACAAAAACAGAAATGAGATTCTTTGATTTTGACTCTTGGAGAAGTATCATAGTATGTGGTATTGACTATTGGACAAGTATCTTTTCTTTTTGATTCTTTTATTCAGACATAATTATAATTCATTTTAGTATTTCTTGCTCTTAAATAAATATTTAATTTATCATTATACTATCAAACTAGGGCTTCGTCGACTTTATGTGGACAGTGCCAGACGAATCTCAAGAAGGTGTGGATTTGTAAATACTTTGAATACTTTCTTTTATATTTAGCCCATATTTAGTGGGATTAAAACAAACTTTTTGTAGATTTTGATAAAGTTGATGAAATGTGTGATTGAAAAGTTATGGATCCCATAAAATACGTTATTAAAATTAAATGTTGATTTTAACTTAAATAAAATCTCGATTTTAATTCATACCAAACAGGATATTAGCAAATCAATATAAATAGCTTTATACTTGTTCTTCAGACGTACTTTATGATTAAAGAAATGAGGGACATTATTTTTATTTACATACAGGGCACTCGGAATACCAGGATCGATCTCGACTTTAGTAGAAAACTCATTTTGTCAGTCACACAATTGAAATTCAGCCCCCATTTGGTAGCAATTTTTCACTCCAAAAAATCAATTTTTTTACCGTTATTTTACTATTCCAACTATCATTTTGACTTTTCACTCACAGATAGGACCCACATTTCTCTCTAACGATCAAAAAATCAATTCTCATAATCATTACTGAACATGCCCTTAATCATCGTGGACAAATTTAAAAAAAGAAGTGAATTATAATGACCAATATTGACTCTTATATCTAAGCTAAAACAAAACTTGCGGGTTTAAAAAAATTCCATAAGATTTGTTCGATTGAAAAAATTAGATATCGGATTGAAAACCAATTTTTTAAAATCAATAAGATAGCTTCAAAACTAGTTGATTCATTTAAAGAAAGAAAGAAAGAATTTATGCTTTCTATTTATTAATTTTTTAACCAACGTTGATCTTTGATGTTTCTGAATTAATATATGGGTACATTGAATATGGACACATTAAAAAATAAAATTTAATATACATAGGTGCTGCTAAATGGATTGATTTTATCAACGTCCATATATATAATATGTAATCATAATTAAACGAAATTATTGCAAGCAGTCCCCAAACATTTCAATTAGTTGCATTTCAGTCTCTATTCATTTTTTGGTCGCACCTTGGTCCCTAAACTGTCTTAAATTAATTATTTTGTCGGCAAAATAATTAATTGAAACTGGAGGACGGCAGGTAGGTTTAGGTTATCACACTCTTCAATTATAAATTGCAAAAGATTGCCATAACATTGTCGACTTTGGGCCTTGGGAATACGGCTCTCCGTCAATCTTAAGAGGTATCCTTTTTGCTCTTTCTACAAATCGATCAATTTTTTCACTCATTAAAAGCCTCGAATCCTTCGCTCTCATAACGAAATAACCAGATCTTCTGCAAACAAATCAAGAAAAGAAAATTTCTGTAAGGTTTTATTTGATTCTCTTGCTTTTGTTTCTTTAATTTCTGCAGATTTTATCGATTGTACGTGGATTTTGATGATGTATATGTTATCTTTTCTGTTGTGTGTTTATGGGCTTTATTACTGAATGGGGTGAATTCTGATGATGTATATGTTGACTGTTTATATTTGTGTTTTGTATCTCTCTCTCTCTCTCTTCCTTTTTTTGTTTTCCTGTTCTGTTGATTCTATAAAGAACGAGAAATTTGTAAATCTCAGGTTTTGGTTGTGAACCCGGAATTTGTTTATGGTGGGTCTTTGGGATCTCTTATGCTTCTGAGATCTTGTTTGAGCCCCTTTTTTTGGTAATGGTGTATTTTCGAGCCGTTGATTGATGGAAAAAATAAGGAAAAGTTCTAAGTTTGCTCGTAATATTATTTTATGAAAGAAAATGTATTTTGGAAGATTGAGACTAGGAAAAAGTTAATTTCACTACTTTAATTAACTTGTTAAAGAAATTATTTATCTTTAAACTTACTTATTAGCTAGAGGGCTGAAAGGATGTACTTTATTTGCCTTTAGTGTGAGTAAAAGCACAGTTTGTCGAGCTTAGATAAAGTAAAATCCATACTTTTTTCCTATTTTAATCTACTCTAAGCGCTTGAAGATATTAATAAAACAATATAAGTTTGTCATGTTAACATGTTTAGTGTACATTATATGAGCTGGGAAAGCATCAGTGTTGTATGTAACTGTTTAATCTCTAGTAATAGGTTCTCGATATTTTCATCTGATAACAATTTCAAACTGACTTACTGAGAACCATAAGACGGAGCTTCGAGTGAAGAAGCATGGAGCCACTCGCTCGTCTCTTCTCATAATTCTCCGGACATCTACTGCCCTGTTGCTATGGAAAAAGGATGGTTACTATGCCATTTTTTGTCAAAGCTAAGGGGCATATATATATATATAGTGCTTGTGTAAAAGTGCTTTTTATTTTTTTTGGAGAATATATGTTAAAAGAGTAGGAAAGTTATAAAATATGATTTTATTTTTTTATTTTTTGTGTATGTTGAGAATGTGTGGTTGAAGTGAGTATAGGGGAAAAATGATTTTCATATAATCACTTTCAAACAAGGGCATAATAAGATTTTATCAAATAAAAAGCATCCATAATTGCAGTATTCAACTTCAAGCTCCTGCACTGCTGTTCATGGTATGACTTCGTAAATTTCTTATCTAACCTCATGGATCTGAGAATATTGGAAATGATTACGATTCAAGTATTTCTTTCAACATAGTTGCCATCTTGTTCTATGAACATTTTAATGAACTGATGTTTTATTTCATATTTGCGGGGATTGGAATTGATGTTTCGCCCTACTTCCATTACCAGAACTGACAGGAAAAAAATTGCGTTAAAATTTTATCTACAATGTGAAATGAAAAATATACTACGTTTGAAATTTTTTCCATTTGTTTGTATTACTTTCTTAACCATTACAATCTCAGAATTACTTTTTAATTTGGAGAGACTAATCATCAAACTGCTGAACATGTTTGTATTAGGTAAACATGGCAACTGCAAGCCTTCCCAACAGCTGCATGCTCAGAAGTGCACCACCACAAGCTAGAAGTACAAGTGCCTTTCTGAGGAGCCCGTCCTCTTTAGGATCCGTGAAGAGCATCTCCAAAACCTTTGGCCTGAAAGCTAAGTCAGGTTTCAGAGCATCCGCGATGGCTGTTTACAAGGTCAAGTTGATTGGACCAGATGGCACTGAAAACGAATTTGATGCTCCTGATGATTGTTACATCCTCGATTCGGCTGAGAGTGCAGGCATTGAGTTGCCATACTCATGCAGGGCTGGCGCGTGCTCAACCTGTGCCGGGAAAATGGAATCAGGTTCTGTTGACCAGTCGGATGGATCTTTTCTTGATGATAACCAAATGAAGGAAGGTTACTTGCTGACCTGCATCTCCTACCCGACTTCAGATTGTGTGATTCACACTTGTAAGGAGAGCGAACTTTACTGAACATTTGCTCGAGTTTGTGGTTCTAGCTTATTAGCTATAATGCAAAGCAATTCAACATTGCTTGTTATGTTGTTTTCGAATATTGATGTCGTAATTAGCAAAACTGGCTGTTTTGGAACTTTTGAAAGCTCGTGTTCAAGTTGTGTTTGTCTAATGCAATCGCCTTTCGTACCCATTGTTGTTCTCTCGTGCTCTTCTTTCTTTGTTTAGGTTGAGAAGGGGTTGCTAGTCCAAGGTAGAGAAGTTGAGGGATTATTGGTACCATCAAACAGTTGTTCTCTCTAATAAAATTATTGTTAGTTTTTAATATTCAGTTATACAATTTGTGGTAGTAGTTTTTTGTTATAAAAAATTATGATTATTGTGCTCTACTAGACAATATATTACGGAGCAAAAAATGTGTTTCTAGTATTGTATATCGAATATGCCTTTGTAATTTTCCGAACATAAAAAGTCAAGAATTAAGCATTAAGAAGTTTGTATTCATAAACCAACATATTGAGTATAGGTCTTAATGAGAGTTTATAAATACGTGATTATGTGTGTGATACACTCACAAACACAAAATTGGCATTTATGGAAGTAATTTCTCTAGGATGTAAGATAACTAAATTTTCAGTGATAATGTCTAAAAAATATTTAAAATTTTGTGGGCTTCTAAACTTGCCATTTATGGACTCAAATTTAGAACTCTGATCATATTGAGTCGAAGCCCAAACTCTAGTTTTTGTGTCATGATAGTAAAAGTCCAACTAAAAGTAAAATTACTACGTATATACACTAACCTGTGACTGGAAATTGAAATATGCTGCACTCCGAAACCTTTGTTTTTTTTTTTTTTAGACTCATAATAAACTGAATTAATTGGAAAATATTGGCTCTTCAATGAAACATTGATTTAACAATGTTACCATCCAAATTATCTACTTGCAGGGCGGATCCAGACAGTTCGAATTGTGGAGTCAAAAATGAAATTTTTTTCGAACAACGTATCATTAACGAAAATAAGATCATATGCTACTATAATAGCATTTGGGTTTGGGCCTTTTGCACATTGGGCTAGGGAAATTAATTATGTTGGCTCACTACTTTGACAAAAAATTACGTTTTAAGTAAGGGGGAAAAAAGAAAAAAAATCCAAAAAACCATGAGGTCATTTGACCCTACATGACCCCACGTGGGTCCGCCAGTGTCTACTTGGCCATTTCATTTTCATGTTGTTGTTATCCAAGAATACTATAAATTTGAAATACAAAATTCAATCTTGTTCAACAAAATCATAATGAATATATAATTATTTTATTCAACAAAATATGATGAAATTCATCTTAACTATCTAAAAATTTCAATTCAAAGTACGGAATTTCAGTTTGCTACCGAAATGAATATAATAACTTGCCTGTCCCATTATAGCAATTTTTGATAACATTAACAAGACACAAGATGCAGTCAATGTGAACTCGCATGATTCTAACATAATGAGAGCATATGATGGATTTGTAGACGAGTCTCCTACGTTGATTGTGCACGTATGGTTGAAGATAAGAATGCGGTAAAAAGTATGGAGAACGTAACTATGATAATAAGTGGAAGTTAAGGACTTTTTGTTCAAGTAAATTGCGGTGTAGCGATATAGCTCCAGTGCAAAATACAATCAGAAATTAGAGATAGATCAAATATTATACACAAAATAGGGTTAATTCTTAGAAACGGGTCACAAAGATTGAGAAAATTCCGGGATAAGAGGATTATTCCTTGAGAGAGTTACATCTGCCACGAGTAACAAAAGTAGCCAAAATTTTAGGGGCCAAAATTCAATATTTTTAAATTACGGCTGATAATAAAAATAAAGTACACCATATATAGACGGACCTACCAGTAAGTCATTGCTGATATATCCACTGAAAATTTATGGAAATTATTGGAGTATTTGAAATTGAACGGACTTGACGGTTTGGGTCAGGGGTGGATTCTAAGACCTGATTTGAGTGATATAAGGTGGAGTGCACAGGTTATAGTAGTTTTGTGCTTTTTTTCTTTTAACCCAAAGTGGTGACAACACGCTACATCGTCCCCTTATCACAGGTATTTCCATCCAACCGTAACGCATTATCTGCGCTGCCCGAATTTCCCAGTCGCAACTTGGACGTGTCAGTTGCGACCATGGGGGACGTAAGTCACTCTCCCACCAAATTTGGTGACGCGGGTTGGTATTACAGTTGGAAGTCTCGTTTTGAGTCAATGTTGGACCATTCCTATCAAGTGGTGAATAATATTGACCATGCTGGAAACTAGAGGGATGACGGAATGCATTTGGGGTGGATTCTTGAGCTTGATTCTAATTGAAGTGTGATGGATTTAGAGATGGCAAAATAACCCTTCCCGCCCCGACAGGTTGGCGGTGCGGGGAGGGGCAAGGCATCCACCCGACGAAGAAGTAAAAAAAATCATACCAAAATTTCAAGAAATATAAACCCATAAAATTTACCTTGCATGAAAAAAGAGAAATGTAGCAAATTAATTCATAAAAAAAAATAATAATAAATATTTGATTGTGAAGATCTCGATGCATTGAGGCAAGACCCACAAATCTATAGATACAGTTCTTTGTAGTCATAGCATAGCTATGCTTCGCTTCATTTATACCAAATCTGTGAAATCCAATTGTTGTTTCTCGATTTCTCTATTTTTATATAGCCCTTTTTATAAATTTAAGCATTGGAACTTTCATTCTAAAGTCCATTTTGCTGATTTATTATTTTGTATATTCTCCAGGTGTTCTTTTCTTGGCTGAAAATTTTTCAATTTTGGAAAAAAAAAAAAAAAGGACAATGGGGCAACAAACGGGACAAGCTACTGCCCTGAACCCGACCCGTTTCCATTTTTAGATGGATTGCATTAATGTCATGAGTTATGGCTTTTGGACAAAATTGATTACCTACAATAGAAACAAAATGTATAAGTGATCTAATCGGCGTCTCTCTTCTTTAGTTATGTTCATTCTAATGAGTTAAAATATACCCTCAATGTGGTATACAATTTTTTAGTCCTTTGTGATGAAATATTTTTAAATTGTGCTAAAAATGATTATAAACTTGTCATCCTTGGTAGATCAACCGTAAGCCCAATACTAAAAGACAAATTCAACCTACTACTAATGAACAAAGCGAATGAATGAAACCTTGGAAAATTTATTAGGCCCCTGTTTGTGCCATATTTTTGGCTCATATTAATGAAAAATTGGACCGTTTGGTCCTGCAACTCTCTGACACCCATTAAAGAGTCACATGGTAGAAATATATATTCTTTCCTCCTTTGCCCTTCTACTGCTTTCCCAAAACACTCCGTGTCCGGACTCTCTTTAGTAACTAAAGTCCCATTTTCGTCTCCAGCAACGCCTTCTGTAGAAGACCCTCCATTCATTTGCATGATTTTCGCAAAGGTCAACGGGAAGCGACCATCAACCGACAACGAAGCAAGAATACAAGGTACCGTCTGGGATTCATTTTCGCCTAGGCATGCGTTCGTGTTCCCAGCCTACACAAATTCTTTTCGATCGGCAAAAAGTCGGTAATCCAATGCCGGCATCCCTGCTGCCTCTGGTTGAAATCGACGACAAATCTCATGGATCCACACTCTACTGAGGTAAGCCGACGGCTAAGCACACCATTTACGGTTCATATTTTACTTTTGTTTTTTCCGACCAGTTGGCGCTCCCTCTCATAGATAGGCTCCGACCCACAGCAAGAATCTTCCGATGCACGAGTACCTGCAAACAGGGGCTTAGAATCAAGAAGAAACGCGAGGTGAAAGCCGACAGAACTGATGACGTTCATAGCAACTTGTGAAACTGCCATTGCTGAAGGCCATCGCCATGGCAGGTGTTTCACGAAACAAGGCTGGGAGCGTGTGGTTGCATTATTCAATTCGTCGTCCGGCCACAATTGGACAAAACAACAACTCCACAACCACTGGGATACAATGCATCGTGACCACAAATGCCTCCGCGAACTCTTATCCTGCAACGGGGTCGAGTACGATCCGCCAACGGGTCACATTGTAGCATCTGAGGAGTGGTGGACGCAAAAAATCAGGGTAAGGCGCCTATTTTGAATTTGCAGCGTTTGTAACGTTTCCATTAATCACCACAACCTACAACCCAGACACAAATCGATGTGCCCTGTAACTATAGGATGGTTTGTTTTTGTTTATTTGAGCATGCACATACCATGTTGTTGCCGGAAATTAAACTAAAGTTGTTAATCTTGCATGCCATATGAAACGCAAACAAGGATCTGATTTCGGCTTTTGTTATTTCTTTGCTTGTGTACTTTAATTCGCTCTAATATTTGATAACAACTTTAACACAACTAGGATGTTTCAGATACTCTCATACCTTGTTAATTTCTTCGAGTGAAACTTCATGGGTCAATAGTTCATCCAGCTAAATTTCCTGTTCAAACAACATTTTTTCAGTCCATGTACGAGAAGGCATAATCAATTATTTTAGGGAAGTGGTGAAGGTGTGTTTTCTTTTTTCAACAACTTAAATTTTTAAACAAGGTGATTCAATCAATAAAGCTTCTAGATTTCATCGTGAAACTCGAAATGGATTCATACCTTATTTATGCATTTCTCAACTATTTTAAGGAGGTTTGTTTGAGGTCTTTCTCCACCATAAATGGACCCCTTAATTGTCCTACCAAACAAGAGCAGAATGTATTTGAGCTCCCCACTTAAATGAAGTCCTGCACCAACGAAAACTATTGTCCCAAGTCCATATTTAAATGACACGATTAAAAAGAAATTAGTCTTATGTCATGATCAATAGGAAAAGCCATTACTGATACTGAAATTGACAGGAAAATTTGAAGAATTTTACCACTTTGGATCCTTCAATTGCTTCATTTAGCAGCTCTGGAACTCTAGTGCACTCATAACAGTAATCCACCTCCAGTCCACCTGTGGTCTCTTTGATCAATTCTGATACAGGTTTATCAGATTCTTTTGGATTAATAAATTCGGTCCCTGCATACCATGTTGTAACTAATTGATTCTTACATTCGGTTGGTTAAACACTACAGTTAGGCAATCAATTAAGCAGGTTACAATTAGTTAGAATCAATGAAACTGTTACTTGTAATCTGGTAGTCGTTATAACTGATGTATATATATACACTTCTTGTATATCTCTTGATCTGTGGCTATAAGTAGGACCAAGAGGGCTGAGAATAGAATATGAGCAAGAGGGGAGCATTTTCTGTTGAGAGAGAGTGAGATTGAGAGAGAAAAGTCTCTGTAGACAATCT